GTTATGCTGGTATACTATGAAAATGTGTGAAAGGGGTGAGGGTGCCACAGGAACACAAACGAGAGATGAGATATCACAATGCCCTTCATGCTTCTTCTGGTTCCGAAGCCTAGAAGACCATGAAGTCTTCATGATCAAGTGATCTGCTGGAGGGGACCCACCTATTTTACCACCACATGGTGCTTCTTTATCACTAAGGCTCCTCCTTTTCCTTCTATTTTTGAAACAGGATCCTTTGTGTCCTAGGTTGATCTCAAATATAACAGGCATCCAGGATGATCTTGAACTTCTGATTCTCCTACTCACACCTCCTAAGTGCTAGAATTATAGATATTCGCCACCACACCTGGTTTACTTAGTAATGGGGATTGAACTGGGGGCTTTGGGCATGCTAGGCAAGCATCCTACCAACTGAGATACATCTCCAGTCCCTTACATGGGTTCCTCTAAAGTGACAGATCAGATTGGTTTCCAAGGAGCAAGGGTTCTTTGGACTCTGGACTAGCAGTGCTCAATCAAGGACTAAACACACTGGGATGGTTTCTGAATCTCTCCCAGCATGTGTGCGCTCGGCAACAACACAGACAACCTTGTTTGGACCAGCTTCTGGTCCCAAATCCCTCCCCCTACCAAAATAAATCTCCAGCTGTGCCTCCTGTCTCTGACCTCCCATTGGCAAGACCACTCTACCCTGACGTAGAAAGAAGTGGGACATAGGAAGGCACACTCTGACAGGGCTAGAAAGGGCTAGCGTTTCTGGAAGTTGAGGTGGGTTAAAGAATGGAGGCAGAATCCAGATGTAGCAGAAAACCAGACAAAGCCCTTTAGCCATTTCATTAGTGAAATACCACCCACTTTTTGACAAAACTGGGCCCTACCTCCCAAGTTCTATCCGCTCTGGGCTCTGAATGCTCCTATCTTTCTCACTGTACTTGTGAAGGAAATGACATCCTGATGACAGTTTCGACAGAAACACATTTAATTTAGACACAAAAGACAGACGCCCCTTCCTAGGTCTGCCATCCTTTGTGCTTCTGGGGACAACATTAACCTGGTGGAAGACTCTTCCCCTCCCGCTGGTGACTCTGAGCCAGGGGCAGAGGCAACTGCTGGGTCAGAAACAGAACCTGGGAAATCACACTGTTTCCTGCTTTGAGAGCCTCCTGAGCTTCGCTAAGTGCTCATCTGCGAATTTTCTGTTCTGATCCTCCCATCCACCCGGTGAGTTTCTAGGAGCCTGCTTCATTCGAGGTCACAGCAGAATTCCACTTAGACCCAAGCTCTCTGCTGGCTCTTCCCTCTGGCCTGTTCCATTTCATTCATGAAAATAGCATCGTCATCCAAGGGCTGGCAGGCTTTGGATCATCTGGACAGATGAGAAAAGCGGCACACGTGTTCCGATAAACACCGAACTGCAGGTACCAAGGACCTGGGATGCGGCCCAGATGCCCTCACCTCCAGGGCCCTCACTTTAGACTTCCAAACCCAGCCTGAAGCTGGAAGAAATACCTTTCAAGACAGACTTTACCTGTGGAGCTGTCGACATGAGCTCAGCAGGTCTCTAAATACCAGCGCTCCTTCCGACAGGTACCAAAATATAATGGAGGTGTCAGCTCTTTTAAAACTGCGTTTTCTATGCTATTCCCACGTAAGGAAATTTTCAGCAGCCGTATGAGAAGGGTAGGTAACCCCAGTGTTAAGACGGAAATGACACCCTGTCTCCAAGACACTACCGCTCAAGGGTGGGGGGAGACAAGCAATAGGAGTGTGGGTTCCACTCAAAACCCTGCAACGGGGAAGCATGTGTGACAGTTCTTGTTTTGAACACAAAGTTCAGTCCCTGACCGAGAGTGTTGGAAATGGTCCACACCTGTGGTTTTTCTTCCTCCCGCCTCTCACCAGCTATGGGACCGCAACACCAAACTTCATACCTCAGCTTCGGCATTGCAGAAACAGGAATCAGTAAGAGCGTGTGCCCAGAATCTCACACAGATTAGATGTGTAGAAACAAGACAGCCTCTTACAAAGCCGGGCTCTCGGAAATGCCCTATAAATCTTGGCTATTATTACTTCTGTGTTCAGGGGAGCGTGGAGAAAGAATTCTCAGACGGACCTTAGCTGTGTCACCCTGTCTGACTGTTAAGCAAAAGAAATGTCTAAAGCCTTGAGAGAGAGGCTCTTGATCCCTGTTGATGGATGAGGTCCTGGAATGACCAGGGTTGGATCCGGGTACCTCTAGAGAGGCAGAAATGAGGATATTAAGAGCCCAAGTGGTCATTTGGAAGTCACTCACCATGATGGAGTCTCTGATGGCTTCTGCCTGCCCTGAAATGGAAACCCAAGGCTTGGGTAACTGCACCAAGTATCGCCTGCTTTGCCTGGCTCTTTTAGAACCTATTTTGTGTTACAGCTCTTTCTTTGCCCACGCCTTCGCTGGTCACGCTATTCTTCCCCCGAGCTCCCCTCCCTGCTGTTCACTGTCTGGGACATTGATTGAAGCCCATGCAGATTAGGAAAATTCACTTTGATGGAGCCAGCACTCCGCCTAGACAACCAGTACAGATATTGTATTAACTTCTCTTGCAAAGACGTGAATAAACCCTTATGTACTCCAGATAGGATGCTGGTGAAAGACCAAAGGAGTGACTTACCAGGCTCAGAGGGGGAAGGGCACTTAGAGTCAAACCTTACGACCTGAGTTTCATCTTCAGGATCCACATGGTAGAGGGTAAAAATCCACACTCACAAGCTGTCCTCTGATCTCCACAGGCTCCAACCACCATAGACATACACATTTTTTTTTAAATTATATTGAACCCCTCCCCACCATGTCTATCTTGGGAAACTAGTGTGTTTGATTAGACTAGCTTACTGAAGCATGTATGACACTTAGAGGCACGTGGACAATTTAGAGTCAGCCTCACCAGCAGGAGTACAGAGTACAGCAGCACACCACAGTGGGGGAACATATTCTCTTGCAGTGACAGTCACATAGACATCCTCACAGAGGACGTGAGCCTCACACGCAGCCTTGTGAGTGTTCAGAAGCTGCCTCTGGGCCCTTTATGGGCTCTCTTATTCACCTCATGAGACGTATGTTTTCCTCAAGAGAGAACATTCATGGGCCCAATCTCACAAGACTCTCATGTGGAAATTACGACTGCTCTGATTTCAAGATCATAATGACCATGTGGCACCCAGGGGACAGACAGCATTGCACAGCCTCAGGCTGACCTTTAGAGAGTCATGTGTCTTTGACCACACATTCGCCCAGGCATGGTATGTCAGTTTCCCCATTCTATAACAGATATAAGCAATAAATCAACCTCAAAAGATAAAAGGTTCCCTTGGCTCACAGTTTTGGAGATTTCGGTTCACGTGAGGTTGGCCCTGTTGCACACCGCGGTACATCATGTTGGGAGTCCATGATGGAAGAAGACTCTTCACCCCTTACGTGAATGTTAGAGAGGAAGAAATAGGCTCGCCCAAACCATGTGAGACTATGTTTCAAACCTGCCAAAATCATCCCACTAAGTACCACATTTAAACATCTTCACTGCGATTGTCCCAAAGCAACAAGCACATGTGCATATAGGGGACAACAAAGATCCAGACTATAGCACACAGGTCCGCAGTGATAACCTAAGGAGACAAGGTTTTTTATATATTTTCCCTCCTGATGCCTTCATTCTGTCCTGCTAGCCTTCATAATATTTGTCAACATCTGCCACTTCATTTAGACCCAGTGAGAATAGGAACTGTAGTGACGTGATGCCCATTGGCACATGAGATACAAAATCAATGTAAATTCTGTGACTAACTGGATGAATGAATGAATGAGTGAGTGAATGAATTAATGAATGAAAATCAGTATGGCTAAATTAACTAGGATCCCTGTTTAGAATCTGAGAGAACTCTTGATCACGGGCAAGAATATCTCTGAAGATATCTACAAGAGTTGTAGATACCGAAAGACTTGCATTTGCCTAGATTGTTCAGTATCACATCGTAAATTTCAAAAACAATTGCTACCACCTCAGTGTAAAGGATAAAGACGTGCTGTCTGTAATCATGAGCTCCCTAGCAATTGCCCTGACACACGTCAGTATAGGCACATTTTGTGAAATTAATAAATGTTTCCAGTTGATACAATCTCTACACAGTCTCACTGCTGTATTTAGGATGCAGTCCTACCTCTTTTGTCAGATATTAACTGGTAAAAATATTGTCTGGAAATTACCAGAAAGCTTCTTAGAAAATGTAGGATGTACATAGACCAGAGCCTGAGCATTCAAATACCAGAATAATGGGTATCTTTGCTTCATTTCCTGTTGTTGTGATAAGAGCCATGGGAAAAGCAACTTCAGGGAGAAAGTGTTTGTTCTGATTGATAGTTGAAGGGTACAGTCCACCATGGCAAGGAACTCAAAGCAGAGGGAAAATGAAGCAGCTGGTTACATCACACACACAGTCAGGAAGCAGAGGGAGTTGGATGCATGCTACTGCTCCTCTCTCCTTCTCTAATACGCAGTCCAGGGTCCCAGCCAAGGGAATGGTGTCACCCGCAGTGGATGAGTCCTCCCATTCCTATCAACCTGGCTCCTGGGTGATTCTAGATTTTGTCATGTTGACAATCGACACTAACTGTGACACTGAGTTAGGAGAGCCTGTTGTCACCATCTCTTTATAAATAGTAGCGATATAATGCACACCATAGGTACCAAACAAAAAACACCACTCAGACCCAGTGTCCACCCTCTATAGTAACTTGCTTTAGAAAGGTGTCAGGTTATTCCTCTATAAATATAGATCACCAAAACACCCACCTTTGAAGGGAACTGTGAGAATTTAGCTACATATTACCTGGCACACAATAAACATCTATTATTATCGTCACTTAACCAGAAGGTATCATTTCAGGAGGAAGCTGTTTAAAACTCTGAGAACATTTTCTAGGGAAATGTTCCTGACATCATTCTATATACAGAAAAGTCAAGGAGTGCTTTGAACAATGATGTTTTAATAAGAGTATTCTCCACCAAGCTCCAGTTCTGCCACAGTCAACTCTCCAGGGTGAGGTAGATTCTGATTGAAATTAGAAAAAAAAAATTTGGCAACAAGAATGTATATTGCAAAACAAAATGTGTTGCTTTTAAAGTGATTTTGGAGCCTCAGTAATTAGTCTAGCAAGTTCCAAAGATACATTCTGTAGTCATCACTCAGTATTTGTTTCCTTTGCTAATCTGCCTTTGAAAAAAATCAACTGGTGGAAAACATGTCCTGAAGCTGCCATGAACTGAAGGGCCCCCCCAAGGCCTCCGCTGGCTCTGTGTTTGTAAGGAACTTCCCATGGATCCCACGTTCTTTCTTCCTGCCAGGCTGCTCCTGGGTCACTTCACAGCTCTGATGGCTGCTGAAACGAGACAGATGCTGCTATACAAAATAACTCAAGAACATACCAGAGCCTGTTGCTTCCAGCACTTGGAAAATCTGACATTCAAATATGCAAATATTTTATGGCATGCAGAGAGAAAAAAGAGAGAAAGCGCTGGGAAGTCACATTTGAAAAGAAACATACCAGAGATGTAAGCAAACTGGAATTTACACTTCTGGATTATACTCACACTCGCGCTATTATTGAAGGAGCGCATGGAATGGGCCGTGCTTTATCACAGAGGTCTCTTCCAGGAGCATCACCTAGTTGCCAGCACCTACCCGCGGGAGGACAGAGCTGTGTTTGCAGGTGTGAAGCTAGCGCACGCTCTGCCTCTCCCAAGCACCTGTTCGCACAAAGGGCAGTGAAAAGATGAAACAGAGAAGTTGGTGAAGTCTTCTTATTCTATTTCCCACTGCACTGTGTGTGTGTGTGCATGCGTGTGTGCATGTGCATGTGTGTGCATTTATGTATGTGTGCATGTGTGTGCATTGCGTGCGTGTGCATGTGTGTGTGTGTGCGCGTGCATGTGTGTGCATGTGTTTTCCAACTACCTGGGTTAAAATCTTCCCAAGTCATCTGAAACTATGAAGGAATAAACAAAACCCTCTTCTCTCAGGTGGGGATGTAACAAAAAACATGCACCAAGTCCCAAGCTGGTCTGGGTCAGATCATTAATAGCTGAGTTGAATTCTAGCTTCACCACTTACTAGTTTTGCAAACTGTGGCATTGAGACGTTTAATGTCTTGGAGCCCTGGCCTCTCATCTGGGGGCTGAGAGGATCACATGAGTTCTGACACCAGGACTTGCTATTAAAGAAATAAATACAATGCAAAGATATTGGTTTGACGGAAGGGAAACCCTGGTTTTTTTCTTTCTTTTCATAATTCCCTTTCCTCTGTGACAAAAGCTACACAATACAACTAGATACACCAGAGTGAGAGGGGGAGCGAAGACCGAGCAGCGCCACATTAACTACATCAGCTTGCTCTCGGACGCAAGCTGAACATCTAGATTCGGGTCCATTAGTCCACGGGGCTGTTCTCTAAATGGAAAAACCATTCGTGACCCTTTCTGACTTGTTCTCAGTCATTGCCTGCTGCACTTAGGAACATGCCCGGATCTCATCCAGCGGCCTGCATTTAGTGAATGAGGATTATGGAAGATGTGGATTCAAAGAGGCAAGGACTTGGGGCAGCGGAGACTAGGTATTGCATGTACAACTGGATGGGAAGGAAAGTCTGACTTTAGGCCATAGAAGATGTACTGAGGTATTAACTCCAATCCAGAGAGAGAGAGAGAGAGAGAGAGAGAGAGAGAGAGAGAGAGAGAGAGA